TCCACTGGATTCTCTCCAATTTGTCCACATCCTTTCTATAGTGGGGGGCCCATAACTGGACACAGTATTCCAGGCATGGCCTCACCAGTGCCAAACAGAGGGGAATAATCAGTTCCCTCATTCTGCTGGCAACAGCCCAATATGCTGTTAGCCTTCTTTACAACAAAGGCACACTATTGGCCCATATTCTGCTTACTGTCCGCTGTAATTCTCAGGTCCTTTTCTACAGAGCTGCTGCTTAGCCAGTCAGTCCCCAGCCTGTACTGGTGCATGGGATTGTCCCATCCTAAGTGCAGGACTTTGCATTTGTCTTTACTAAACTTCATGGCATTTCTTTTGGTCCAATCCTCCAGTATGTCTAGGTCACTCTAAATCCTAGCCCTACCCTCCAGCATATCGATTATTCCACCTAGCTTTATGTCATACACAAGCTTGTTAGGGGTACACTCCATCCCAGATGGTTGATAAAGATATTGAACAAAGCCGGCTTGAGGACCGACTCCAGGGGCACTCTGCTTGATACCAGATGCCAACTAGACATCAAACCATTGATTACTACCCTTTGAGCCCAACAATCCAGCTAGTTTTCTGTCCATCTACAATCCATTCATCCATCCCATATTTCCTTAGCTTGCCTGCAAGAATGGTGTGGAAGACCATATCACAAGCCTTGCTAAAGTTGAGGTAAATCACGTCCACTGCTCTTTCTACTTCTGCAGAGTCAGTCGTCTCATCACAGAAGGTAATTAAGTTGGTGAAGCATCACTTGCCCTTGGTGAGTACAAGCTGACTGTACCTACTGACCTTCTTTTCCTCCAAGTGCTCAGAAATGGGTTCCTTGAAGACTTTTCCAGGGACTGAGGTGAAGCTGACTGGTCTGTAGATCCCTGGATCCTCCTTCCTTCCTTTCTTAAAGATAGGCACTGGATTTGCCCTTTTCCCCATCATCTGGAACCTCTCCTAATTGCTCTGCAATCACATCAGCCAACTCAGTACCCTTGGCTGCATCATGTTTGGCCCCATGGACTTGTACACATCCAGCTTTTCTAAATAGTCCCTAACTTGTTCTTTCATCACTGGTTACCTCTTCCCCAAACTGTGCTGCCAGGTGCAATAGCCTGTAGAAACTGAGGTATATACATCATCAACTTTTTCAGTCTTTTCTGCATCATCTGTCACTAGGTTGCCTCCCCCATTAAGTAAGGAACCCATACTTTCCCTGATTTTCCTTTTCTTGCTAACATACTTGTAGAAACCCTTCTTGTCACTCTTCATATCCCTTGTTGTTGCAACTCCAATTCCACTTTGGATTTCATCCCTGCATGCCTAAGCAATACTCTTATACTCCTCCCTAGTAGTTTGTCCAAGTTTCCATTTCTTGTAAGCTTCCTTTTTTGTGTTTTAGCTAATTGAAGAGCTTCCTGCTAAGCCAAGCTAGTCTTTTGCCATACTTGCTAGTCTTCCTGCACCCCCAGTGAGGACTATTTAAAGTACAGCCAGACTCCTCTCCCCCTCAGACTGCCCTCCCAGGTGACCCTGCCCATCAGTTCCCTGAGGGAATTAAACTCTGCCTTTCTGAAGTCCAAGGTCTTTACTCAGTTGCTCTCCATCCTTCCTTTCCTCAGGATCCTGAACTCAATCATCTCATGGTCGCTTCTGCCCAAGTTGCCATCCACTTCTACATCTCCCACCACTTCTACCCTGTTTGTGAGCAGCAGGTCAAGAAGACCATGGACCCTAGTTCATCTCTCCAACACTTGTATAAGGGAGTTGTTTCCAACGCTCTCCAAAAACTTCCTGGATTGCTTGTGCATTGCCCCCCCAGCAGATGTCAGGGTGATTGAAGTCCCCCATGAGGACCAGGGCCTGTAACTGGGAGACTTCCACTAGCTTTTGAAGAAAGCCTCATCTACCTCATCCTCCTGGTCTGGTGGTCTATAGCAGACCCCCAACTTGACATCACCCTTGTTGCTCTCTCTTCTGATGCTAACCTGGAGACTTTCAACACGACTATCTCCAGTTTCATACTGGCACTCTGAGCAAACATACAGCTTTTTTACATAAAGTGCAACTCTTCTTCCTCCTCCTCTCCCCTGCCTGTCCTTCCTAAACAGTCTGTTCCAGTCATGAGAGCTATCCCACTGAGTCTCTGTTATTCCAATCATGTCATAGTTCTGGAACTCTGCAGGGACTTCTAATTCTTCCTGCTTGTTTCCCAGGCTCCATGCATTCGTGTATGGACAACTGAAGAAACTAGCTGACTGCCCTACTTTCTGAGGAAGAATGAGAAGGCCTCCTTTGTTGCCCCCTCCTGCTTGTGTTTCCTTCACCCACTTCCCCACCTACCTCAGGGCTTTGGTCTCCATCCCCCAGTGAACTTAGGATGCTAAACCAAGGCTAGAAAAGGGAAGTGGTTTAAATGGGTGAAGAGACGCTTCCCAGGGAATGTCAGTGAGTGCTAAAAGGATCCAAGGATCCCAGACTCACTGGCAACCAGTTTCTGTAGCAAGCAGGCTGCCACAGATGCTGAAGAAAATGGGCCATGAAGGCTAAGCCATGCTTAATAAGGGGCACGAGGGGAATGCCAAGGATAGGTAAGACAGCATATATACATATTTCTCTGTGTGCCAGGCACCTTTGGTTAAATAACTCAAGCTTCATTTTTAAGAAATGGCTTCTATGTCATTGCACAGGCTCCTGGAAGGAAACTCATATAGGCATCAAGCTGTAGTTTGGACAGTCCAGAGATGGGGTGCAGAGGAGAAACCTAAAAATGTTGCACAGATGCCTGGCAAATGTTAGCAACAATATGGATTGGTGATCTAGTTATGCCTGTATAGCCTTGGTTCCTATGTAGAGTTAGAGCTAGAGAGCCCTAGAACAGGGACACAACCAAAAAAGCTGACACTCAGCATCTGCTACTAGTTTGTGAGAATGCACTTGGAAGATTACACAACCAGGATGATGGAGACTAGGGGTTTGTGAAGTGGGCCGTATTCAATTTGGATTTGGATTCAGCCTGATTCAGGGCACAGTGATTCAGTTCACTGATTCAGATCACTGTCCCAATTTGATTTGGTCAAATCTGAACCTGAAGATTCGATTCTGATTTGGAGAATCAGTGATTCGGCCATAGACACAGCTTTATATGTTTCGGCCATGCTTTATACCTCTACATACCTCGAGGTATAAAGCATGGCTCATGAATACTGAGATGGTGGGATAAATGGAGCATCCCACAGGAGGGCGGTGGGGGGAGGGTCTCACATGCTTGGCAGTGGATCCTGAAGTGGATGGCCGCAGTGGGACACTGGGTGCCCCTGCAAACCCAGGAGGCACCAGTCACCGAGTCGGGGGGAGGGGAGGTGTCCCCCGCACACTCCACAGCAGACTTGAAAGTGGACCGGAAGTGCTTCTGGTGCATTTCTGGGTCTGCCACCAAGCACGCTGGGGACCCCCCACACTCCCATGGGATGCTCCATCCGCCCCACCATCTCAGCATTCATGAGCCACCTGGTAACTCGAGATAAGTAGAAGAAACATATAAAGCTGTGTCTATGTTATCAAATCATTGAATCTCTCTGAATTGAATCGGAGGCTTTCGATTTGATTCGGAGAGATTAATGGGTCTCCTGATTCAATTTGGATTCGGAGATTCGGCCGCCAAATTGGGTTGAATCTCCTCCGAATCAAATCAGTGACTGAAGCTTCACACAGCCCTAATGGAGACCTCCATCCAGAAGGGGAAAGGCTGAGGTAGTTGTGTATGATTGCAGATGAAATTTCAGTTGGGGGAAGGAAACTGAGGTAGGCATGGAAAGTTAAAAAGAAGATGTGACACTTCCTACCCCAAATGCTGAGTTACAAAAGGAGCAACAGTTTGACCCCACTTCCCCGCTCTTTGGAGAAGCTGACAGCTGTTGGCAACACCAACTCTCTAAATGCTCCTGAATGAGGAATTCAGGAAGTCATTTACAGACAATGAACTCTGTTGGGGAAAACTGAAACTTGGGAATACATGGAGACAATTAGTGATGCCTCAGAAGCTATAGGTCTTGATACACAATGCCTTTTCTTAGGGTATAGCACACAAAGTCCAAGCTGTTCCACTATTTTTAATCTGAGACCATTAAAACTTTACCACAAGCCCTGAGATTCCTCCACAGGGTACTAAGGCCCTGAGATAAACCAAACCTGAGATTATGAAAGAAGAACCTTTTCAAAATGTTCCTAGATATATCATGGACTTTTAATAATATAATCCAGTCAGGAATGAAATATGTATTTTTTGTAGTAAATTATGCTAGTTGCTGCCTAAAGGCTGTGGCTCTGTCCTCTCTAGAAGCAGACACATTAACTAATGACCTTTTATTGATTTTCATCAGGATGGGTTTTTCCAGTAAAATCCTTACAGACTATAGGAATTATAGAAGGCAACTACACATCTCTGCACTGGAACTTGTTGAAAAAGTAAGGATCAAGCACTTTTTCGCTTCAGCATATCACTTTCAAACCAAGGGGTGGGCAGAATGCCTTCATAGAACCCTTGAAAAAATAACAGGCACTCAGAGGATTAGAATAAGTGTCTATCAAGTGTGCAGTTCTACCCAAAAACTTGCCTATGTCCCTCCTGGCTATAGGGGTTGATCCAATAAAAGGAATCACCCACAAAAATCCTTATTTTACCCATCATTTTCCTATGGGACCATTCGCCACCTTCCATCACTTTTCCCATGGGGTCATAACTACACCACCTCCAATCCAGACAATGCCCGCACAGCACAATTGTTTAGCACTGCATGTGGTTTGTTTCTAGCAGTTTGTGCCATATGATTTCAAAGTATCTTTTCCCCAGTGCTATTATAGTGCTGAATACTCTCTTCAGATGTACAGGAGGTTTTTATAACAGAAGATTACTGATGCTTTCATTTGTTTTTCAAAGGCTATATATTTTTCTAACTCCAAAGTCAATACTACAGCATTAATGTACTTCCACTTACTCTGCATACAGAGGCCATCTGTGCAGTTCTTGGATTGCAGGACAAGACCCTCACAGTCCTTTCCACCATTCTTCGGTGCTGGTGCTGTGCATTCTCTCCTGCGCCAATGTGTACACTCTGTCCCACAGGTAGACCACTTACTCCATGATGTCCATCTGCCATCCACTGTAATAAGAAAATGCCATAACTTAGGAAGGTCAGAGAGAGAGAGAGCTGCAAGTATATATATATGTATATATATATATATATATACACACACACACACACACACACAGAGAACCCACTTGTTTTTAAAAGAGCAACATGAACTGAAATCCTGTGTTTATCATGAAAAGACAGCTGCCTATCTGACAGCATGAAAAGACAAATAGACTGTGGGAAAGCAAGCTTCCACAAACTGCTCTGAAAATTTGCCTCAAGCCTATCTTAAAGCTGTCAGAGGAATGGAGCAGTTTAGTTTCCAAATGCATTTACTACTAAGTCCATGTGTTGAGATTGCCAACATGGTAATAATTCGTGTGAACTACAGTGGTGGTTTCTGTGATTTTGACATCCATCCAAAATGTCCACTAGATACTTACATCTCTCAGTCACCACTTACCTGTGTTGAATTCCAGGAGCTGACTTAGACCTTTAAGTCTTTCTATCCCAATTAAAAGGGTCTAAGACATTGAGCCATATATAGACATGACCCATGAAAAGGAGGCAGTCAGTATTTCTCCTGCCCTAGAGTATAGATAAAGACTCTCTCTATTGCTTTCTATCCACTCTTTC